CCCTGGGCGCTGTCCTCGTCCAGGCTGAGGCTGCTGCTGTTTGGTGATAACTCACAAACATGGCTTGACAAGGAACGAAGTTTGAAGCCACATGTGACGTCCTGTCAGAATGAAACTTACCAATAATTAACGAAGCTGTAAATATTTGGACCAAGGTTAGAATTTGAAGAATTTTTATAGCCAGTACATATTTTTGTATTTAATTTAATTTTTTTAACGTTTATTTATTTTTGAGACAGGGAGAGACAGAGCATGAACAGGGGAGGGGCAGAGAGAGAGGGAGACACAGAATCTGAAACAGGCTCCAGGCTCTGAGCTGTCAGCACAGAGCCCGACGCGGGGCTCGAACTCACGGACCGCGAGATCACGACCTGAGCCGAAGTCGGACGCTTAACCGACTGAGCCACCCAGGCGCCCCCATATTTTTGTATTTAAATACACAGTTTTATCAGTGTGTTAGTGTTCCGTTAAATGCGAGATGCCATCCACACTTAGAAGCACCACGGTTTTACGTGCTGCTGTGAAAGAAAGAGGGCTGCCACGCTAACAGCCGCGCCGAGTCCAGAGTGCACCTCCGTTTCAGGGACGTGCACGTGTGGATCTTAGCCATTTTCAGCTTGTAAGACCTTTTGACCCTGCCTGACAGTGACACCGGGCCACTCTTCTGTTGACTTTTTGCTTAAAATATCTGCAGACCCAGAACGAGTTGATGTTTGGTAAGAACAACAGAGAACCTCTTTCGTTCACTGTCACTGGTAGGGGCTAAACATTAGATTTTGCAGTTTTCAGAGAATCCTTGCCAATCTTCTCATTACTAATTTTGTGTGCGTTTCTGTGTATCCCTTTACATAGCACCTCAGGCAAGTAGGAGTGGCTGGAAAGTTTGTTGAGTTTTTTGGAAGTGGAGTTTCACAGTTATCTATAGTGGATCGGACTACAATAGCAAACATGTGTCCAGAGTACGGTGCTACCCTCAGCTTTTTCCCTGTTGACAATGTGACATTAAAACATTTAGAACATACAGGTAAGATGACAGATCGGTAGGGTAAGCGTGTTACTGTCTCCAGTGTGTTTGTCTGAAATAACTTGTAATAAACAACTACCTTGTGCAGGTTATTGGATATTCAGGAAATTATGATGTTGAAACTGGCTTTCAAATAAACTGCCTCACATTCTTGAAAGAGTATTGTGTTCTCAAAACCTGGTCCCCTGTGGCCCGTCTACAGTATTTTAAAGGAATTACTCAAACTGCAGATCCTTACCTCACTTGTTCCAGGAATGACGGCTACCACACCCTTCTTAGGGACAAAGGCTGCAGTTTAGTGGAAGTCAGGCTGGCGCATGTGTGCAGCTGTCCCCTTAACAGGAACAGAGGAGCCACCACACAAAGGCTGGGGACCGGTGCCCTGTCTGAAGACTAAGCACATAATCTTGTGAAAAGCAGCCTAGGATTACAGGCTCCAAATCTTTTTTGTAGCTTGATTAGCAAGACGTTTGACCGTCTTCTATTGAAGGTTTAATGTAGAAATACCTGTAAGACCAGGATGTGCTCATGTTTCTTAAGACCCCGGCTCTCCTTTTTATGTGGTCCACTTCCCTTTTCAAGAGGCCATTGCTGAACTAATCTCTCGTCATAAGGGTATTTGGGGGGTGAGGTCTAGTATTCTTCAGTTGGGGGGAAGATTTTATAAATTCGTAAGTCAAATGGCAAAATGGACACTTGGTCACTTGGAATGTTGGAGGGAACGATTCTTACTGAATGCAGAGCTTTCTCTAAACTGGGTTTGTTAGAACATTTGAAAGTGAAATGGTTGAGATGCCTCCTTCCCACATGTTAATATGAGTTGTGTAGTAATGATGTGTTGCTGCGTAAGATATTATCCTAAAGCTTAGTGGCTCAAACCGGCAATAATCACGTGTGGCCGCGTGGTTTCAGCAAGTCCGTGGTTTAGACGGAGAGGCCGCCTGTCTCTGCTCCGTGGCGTCTAGGGTGTCAGACGCAAAACTTGGCGGCTCAGGCCTGCAGTCCTGACAACTGCGAGCTCGCATGTCTGGCACTGAATGCTGGCCATCAGCGGGTGCTTAGCGGGGACTGTCAGCCACAGCTTCCATGTGTGTTCTCTCCATGTAACCTGGGCTCACTTACATGGTGGCTTTCCAAGGGCGGCTGACCTGGGAGAGAGTGTTTGCCAGCCGGTCGACAGTCCCATGGCTCAGTTTCAAGGGCCGATCTCTGCCTCTTGATGGAGGGCTGTCATTGGCACATTGTGAGCACACGGTTTGGGTGTGTGCTGTTGCATCAGTCGGTGGAAATGCAGTTGGCCACAGTTACTTCTAGTCATGCTGGCTGAGAGCTGCCCAAATATTTAACTGGAGCTCTTATTGCTAACCATCTGATGGTTTTGATTTCTGGAAGATCCTGTTAGATCTCTCTCACTGCTCTGTGAACCCTTTCTTAACATTCACTTATTTTTTCATTTTGATTATTCGTGTTTTTTTTTTTAGGAAAAGTAATGAGTGTCCTTCGTGGTGGGTGATCATTTGTTATATTCAGTGTAGTTATCGATTTATCTTCTGCAAACTTTTTTTGTGAGTTTTCTAGAACTGGCTCCGTATTTCTCATCTTGTCTCTGAGTAACTTTTAAAGGGGGACTGGTGTGTGTTTTATAAAGCAGAGTTTTCACCAAGGGCAAAATTTTTACTGCTCTTGAGAACAACATCAAGTGGTAGTTTGTAAAGAAATCTGTTCTGAGTAGTAATGTGTAATGTCTGTTTCTTGCTCATCATTGGAATTCAGTACCTCCAAAGATTTCTCTTACTGTATTTTTGTTGTTCTTAATCTTCATTTTAGGTTTTGACAAAGCCAAACTCGAGTCGATGGAAACATACCTTAAAGCTGTGAAGTTGTTTCGAAATGACCAGAAGAACTCAGGAGAACCTGAGTACTCCCAGGTGTGTGCAGAGAGGCCCCTTGTCGCCGTCAGGGTGTGTGTTCTGTAGCTTAGCCACCGGGTTTGAGTACCAGCTCTGGGACTTACCGGCAGGACGGCTGTGGGCATGTTATCTAGCCTTTCTGCCTCAGCTTCCTCACCTCTAAAATAGGAAGGTATTCTTAAGGGATTAAATAGAAATGTATTCGAGCGGTTTTAGGGACCCAGAAAGTGCTCAGTGTCAGCTATCATTATTTAACATTTAACGAATAAATGTTATTTATGACCCTGCTTAGATTTTACTCAGTAGTTTTACAACATTTTATCAAATCTAATTTTTTTTCTACTTTATGAAAAGAGTCAGATACCCTCTGAAAATATCAATTCTGATGAGGCCTGCATCTGGTTAATGTCTGTATTTATAAAAATATGTTATGAAAGGGGTATACAGTTATATGGTCTTACATGTTAAAGATATTTTATAATGAATCTAAGCCAATATTTCTTACCTTTTGGAAGTTTATATTGAAGTAAGTAAAATTCACTTTCAGGGAAGTCTGAATTTTAATACAATTCATTTTCTAGGAGCGTGGTAAGCATCGAAAAGCACTTGGTGTTGTCATAGGTCTGGTTATCCACTTTCTCAACCCAGCTTTATTTTTCTTCATAGCATGTGTCCTTGCCTGAAATGTATTAATTTCTGTACGTGTCTGCCTGTCTCCCCTGCCAGAATGCCAGTAAGAGGAGAGGCATGCTCAGTTTGTGTGGTGCCGTGCCCTCCGCCCTGGTGCGCCTGGCACAGTGCTGACTGTTGGGTGCATATGTGAGCCCACCTAGGTGTGTGGAGGGCCAGAGCAGATCATAGGGAGCGCACTTGTGTGAGCTCCTCGTTTTCTGGTCCCTTTCAGCTCTGTTTATTGTAGTGCCATGTTTTTGTTTTTGTTTTTGTTTAATTTTTTTTTTTTTCAACGTTTATTTATTTTTGGGACA